CAAACTAACATGTGAGTAAATGCCTTCCCTTTATTGCTCTCCACTCCAAAAAAAAAAGACTGGGGAAAAAGTAGGTTAAAAAGAAGGGAACTTTTTAATAATACTAGCTCCACTCTAGCTAAACACCAATGGAAAAGTTATCTCTTTACTTTGAAGCGCCAATGAACTATGCAGAGAGCTCGATGTCTAACCACGGAGAGCCAGGTAAGGTCATTGTGCAATGACCTTTCATTTCCTCCTCTCCTGGGCTTGTGTCAGTGGACCAAATAAAAACTGAGCTTCTTAATCCATCAAACAGCAGAGAGAAAGAACACAATGGTAAGAGGGGTACAAATCGACACTCAACTTTTCAATGAGGAGCTGAACTTTCACCTTCACCAGACAATAGCAAGTGGGAATGAGTGTTGTTCGTTCCATTTCTTTCTTCCCTTTCTAGCTCTGGTGGACCTCAGCCCCAATCTGAATTTTCACCCTAATTTTGGTAATATAGTAGAAGAAATTAAAATGAAACAGAGGTAGTGTGGCAATCGATTCTGCCCTCAAGACTGGAGTTAGCAGTATCAGTTGGGAAGGTTAAATTCAAACCTCACCCAAAGACAAGAAGATTAAGAAAGGAAACTCAAAGTGCTGGCAGTCAGCACCCTTTTTACTCTCCTCCATTGGTATTATTTGACCCAAGTTGATCTGAGCTTGCCATCCCTACCAGGTAGCATTGAGGAAGAATGAATGAAATGCTAGTTGGTAGCCAGATTTTATCCTTCCTGGTACTGTTGGGGCCAAATATGAATTTGAGTGTTCGTCTTAATTTTATTTTTACACCACATGTAAGCAAAACTATTGTATAATAATAATAATAATAATAATAATAGGATGTGACCAACTATCTCACAACACTCCAAGTGTCTAGTATACAGTAAAAATGTCTCTCCTCTTACTGTAAAAGAAAAAATCTATATTTAAATGGACAAGGTGAAATCAATAGATACCAATACTGAAACGACAGGTGGCATTATCTAACAAGAGTTTTAAAGTATCTGGCATGCTTCAATGAACAATCACAAATATACTTAAAATAAAAGAAAAAGCCAGCAGTGTCAGAAAAGATAGAAGGGGAGCCAAATGAAATGTTCAAGCTCAGAGGTTACACAAACCAAAACTATAAACTCATTCACTTTCTCAGTAACAAAAATAATTTTACATAAGAATCAGTGGACATTAGTTAGAAAAACAGAATGCTTTTTCCAATAAAACTTAGTCTAGTGAAACCTTTATTTTAGTCACATGATATCCTAGGCAAATAGCTCATGTTTCAACCACCCAGACTAACCTATAGATCTATGAGGTAACTCGGTATTGTATCAAACTATTAATTTTGTGCCAATATGTAGTGATCACTTCACTTATCACTTAATCCCCGTTATTCATCGATTTACTCGAGCGGGTGCCAGTAACGTCTCCATTCATCTGGGTTGCGTGCTAGTGTAGCCCAATGGTATCTGTTCGTTCTAGGAACATCCAGAGCCTCAAACCGATCATTCAGGGTCTTGACGAAGAAGTCTGACCATCTTGTAGGTGGGCATCCACGTGATCTTTTGATGTCCCGTGGAATCCAGTCAGTAATGGCTCTAGTCCAGCGGTTGTCTGTAAACCTCATTACGTGTCCAGCCCATCTGATTTTTGATGTCTTGGCAAATGAGACAGCGTCCCTGATTCTTGAGCGTTGACGAAGATCAGAACTCCGGATTCTATCTCTCATTTGAGTGAATCGTGATATTCCAAGCATAGTTCTTTCGATTCCTCTTTGAGAGACCCGAACAGCGTTCTCATCCTGTTTTCGTAGGGTCCAGGTCTCTGAGGCATATGTTAATGCAGGAAGAACAGTGGAATCAAAGAGATGTGCTCCTAGCTGGTGGTTCTTTGTCCTTTTAGTTATTTCTTCAACGTTCTTGAAGGCATTCCAAGCCGCTCTCTTCCTCCTGCGCAACTCAGGTGCCAGGTCATTCATCATTCATTCATCATATGTAGTGATACACATTAATAAACAGTCCACTGATTTCCTTATGTTTTATTAGCATTATTTCACCTCATTCACTTAAGCTACTTTAGCATCTTACTCTTTCTTTGTTTTTTCTTTGTTTCTTTGTTTCTTTCTTTCTTTCTTTCTCTCTTTCTTTCTCTATCTCTTTCTTTCTCCCTTTATACTTATTTGGCTTTGGACCACATCTGGTGATTCTCAGAGGTTACTCCTGAATAACTCCTTGCAATGCTCAGGGCACCATATGGGATGCCTGGGATAAAACCCAGGTTGGCCTTACGCAAAACAAAAGCCTTACCCACTGTAATATCTCTCCAGCCCCTCTTAGCTCTTTCTTGGGAACACCAGGCACCCTCTACACTAGGGATTTCAGAGCATAATTGTTCCCGCCTGTTGGAAGTCTCCACCTATATCCATGTCTAACTGCCTTTTGAATCTTGTCTCAAAAGTTCTTTATAGGCCTATACTTACAAAAATCTATGCCTCCTATGTGCTCCACTTTTTTCTTTTTCTCTTTTTCTCTGAGCTATTATTATTTTTGCACCACAAACATATCGCTTTTGTTGCTCATCAGTAAGATTCTGCCCTCACTAAGCAGTACATCAGGGCTGATACTTGTTTTGCGTACACACTTTGTCAACAAATGAAACAATCTCTGGCTTAGTGTGTGCTCACAAAGATAACATTTTTTAAAATGTGAAATCTGGGGCTGGAGCAATAGCATAGGGGGTAGGGCATTTGCCTTGCATGCGGCTGACCCGGGTTCGATTCCCAACATCCCATATGGTCCCCTGAGCACCGCCAGGGGTAATTCCTAAGCACAGAGCCAGGAGTAACCCCTTCGCATCACTAGGTGTGACCCAAAAAGCAAAAAAAAATGTTAAATCTAAGTCAAGTTACTTCTGACTTAATGGATCACATTGTACCACATCCCTAATAGTTTACATTCCTTCTCATAATTAAATAAACATAATGTGTCACTTCATGCAGTGTATATATATGGTAGCAAATAGCAGATCTTAATATTATCATTAGTTAAAAATATATTGGATGATTCTTTGCTTTTCTTCAGTCACTAAAAGAAAATATAGAAGAGAAACTTTAAAGATGAGAACTGAGATACTTGAGAGGGGCCCTTAAAGTTGTATCACCTTGGTCAGATCTAGGCTTGCAGAATGCAGTTTTAAAAACACTGATAGAGAAAATTGAACAAGATGCTTAGTAACATCTCCGATACTTTCCTGACTTCTTCACACATACAATAAATGTATGGTTCAGTACTTAATCTTTCATAGTTTTGCTAGTGACTTCCAAACATTCATTTCCACCATTTCCTACGGACCCAAATTTCTATCATTAATCTCCAATTGCTTTCATTCTTCATGTGGATGCGCCCCTAGTCCCTGGAACGCAGCTTGTCAAAATCATATACAACATTCTGAACCTGGATCCCACGTTCCTCTTTTTGTCGGTGATTCCGATGTTTTTCCTCTCCATATACAGCAGTACCTGTGTGTCTCTCAGAAGAGCCGTGTCATCCAAATATTTCCTTTCCTATTGCCCCTTTCTTGTCACCCATTTATGTTGTCACTTCCTTAAAACCTGAATAATTTGGTCAGCATCCTTGCTTTTTTTCTTACAACCCATGATACCTGCACTTCCTTCTTCAGCATTCCTCTGGGTGATCATTTATTAACCTTCTTTAAATGATATAAATATGCTTTCTACCTCAAAATTGATATCTATTGAGTCCCCACTGGCTACATAGTAAAAGTTATTAAACAAACCACAACCCTGAATCTAGCATACAATATCTTTCATGATCTGACCTACTTAACATAGTTGTTTATCTGCCAGATTCTATATCTCTTTTTGCTTTTGTCTATTTTACTAAGTACTAGTTTGGTTTTCAATATAAGAACATATGATGAGAGAATGAAATGGGTGGATGTAATTTAAAAAATATAAACTTCCAGCTATAAAATAATTGATTACTGAGATATAATATCATCATGTTAACTACAGATAATAATCATGGTGTTGTAGATTTGGAATTTGCTAGGACAATAGATCTTAAAAATTCTCATAAAGCATTTTGAATGTGGTTCGGGGTAGAAAACCTGCCTTGTGTGTGTGATGCTCTGAGTCTGATTCCCAACATTGCCCAGAAAAGTTTTCATCTATTGACAAATATGTATTATTATGTATGCATAAATATTGACCAGACATATTTTTATCATTTAACAGTATATAAAATATAGAAACATTACATGACTTGAGAATACATTGCATTTCTTGATACTACTATGATACTGTATGTCAATTATATTTTAGTTGAAAGGGCAGAAACAGAATTTTTACCACATACCATATTTTATCAAGCCACTGTAATTTACAAAACTATTCGTGTTTGTTTCATGCTCACATTATTCCAACACCACACCCATGACCAAAGTGTCTGCTTCCCTCCACCAGTGTCCCACAGGTCTCTCCTATCTATCCCTCTTCTTCCCCCACCCCTGTAAACTTAGTTCTATGGAATAACTTTCTCCAATTCCATCACGATTGGCTATTATGTGCTCCCTTACTATGTACATAGCTCTGTATCCCACATGCAAAAGAGATCATTCTGTATCTCATCCTCTCCTTCTGATGGACTTCACTCAGGATGATAGATACCATCCAATTTTATATAAGGACAGATAGTTTTAAGGAGAAGTAGATGTAATAAAAGTTTAAGAAAAGTCTTCAAATTAAAGAAGAAATTTGCATAGTAACTGACAATTGTTGCAGTGTGGAATTCTGAAGTCTATTCTGAGATAATTGTCTTGATGTGTAAATGTTTCTTACTTTGGGATGCCATTTTTATGGGGGATGAGTTGCGTGTATCTTTTCTCCATGAATATAAATACAATTTCAGTCTTTGAAACACCTGGTAAACTGTCTTCTCTACTTGCTTCTACAGAGAGCCACGCAAGGTGGTCCTGCATAAAGGCTCCACTGGCCTAGGCTTCAACATCGTGGGAGGGGAAGATGGAGAAGGCATTTTCGTATCATTCATTCTGGCAGGTGGACCAGCAGATCTGAGTGGGGAGCTTCAGAGAGGAGATCAGATTCTTTCTGTGAGTGTTTCTCTTTAATCTTTATTTTCTCCACGTCTGGCATTATTTGAAAATAAGTCACTTTCAATTATGACTGAAAATGTACCTTAATTACAGGGGAACTATGGATAAAAACATTATGGATTTAGGTGTGCACTACAGTGTAAATGGAGTTCAAATATTTGACAGCTGGTACTTTCTTCCCTCAATTACAGGCAATAGTGTTAGCTAGAGCTTGCATTTTGGTTTTCTTAGACCTACTTGCATTTAATAGAGCATTGACAATTGTGACATTTTAAGGTACATTATTTATTTTAATGTTATTATTTTTTCAAATCTATTGCTATATTCCAAAAACAGCATCTTTATAAGGTGTGATACATAGAATCATCTGAATCTATACCAAAAAAAGGATGCTAAACACAGTTTGGTGATATTGATAAGTGGTAAGTAACCACAGCACCACTCACCTGAAAAATCTTAAGTACTTTATTTTTCCAAGAATAATATAAAATAAATTTTAAATTCTCACAGTCACCCTGAAAAGCAATGCCACATGTTCATTGGGTACTGTTCAGAATAACTTATCAAAATTTACCTAACTAGGAAGATTCAGAGCTGGGATATAAATATTACTTTTTACTGCCCATAAGATTTACTCTCTTTCTTTCCAGTATCCTTTCTTTTGCCCCTTCTTATTTTCCTTCTAATTCTACTATTTTCCCCAATTTATTTATTTTTCTAATAGTAATAATTGTTTCTTTCCACAATATTAAACTACAATGGTATAAAGTCTATGTTGGGCTGTTAAAGTCATTGGGAATATTCAATACTGGGGCTAGAGTTATAGTACAGTGAGTAGAATGTTTGTTCTGCACTTGGCCAATCCAGGTTCAATTTCCAATGTCCCATCTGTTCTACTGAGCACTGCCAGGAGTAACCCCTGATCATTGCTGGTATGATCCAAAAAGCCAAAAAAAAGAAAAAAACAGGAAAGAAAAGAAGGAAAAGAAAAGAGAAAGAGAGAATATTGAGTACTGAAATTTTTGTAATTAAGCAAGCGATAGTTGAAAATGAACATAAGAAGCCCAGTTCTAATGACTGAAGTTATGGTTCATTACTCAATAAAGCATAGGCTGTTTTATCATTGCATAGTTAGAGAAGTTTGTCTTTATTTTATGCATATGATTTATAGCTAAAATTTTTCCAAGTGACCTTATATTTGTTATTCATCATTCTAAAATATAAAATGACACACATGATTGAATTATATGACATATATGATTGACCTAAGTAAAATGGCCTACCTGACACCTGACTCTATCTCCTCACACGTAAGTTTCTGTTCAATTATCACTTAATGTCAGAAGCATTAGGTGTGAGATAAATAAGTATAATTTCCTTTCAGAACTTTGTTCTACAATCCAAGAGGTGAAGCTAATTACTTTAACTATTCCTCCCTTCTACCTAGTTTTGCTATACTTAAATGGCATATAAATTATTATTGGAAGTTTTTAACTTATTGTCTCCATTTATGTTTATATCTGTCTTCTAAATAGCAAAGAATCACAGAAAGCAAATTCTCTTCATGATTTTTGTATTCTCACTATTTAGCATAGAGCCTGGACATAACAGTCTCTCAAAATATGTTTACTCAAGTGAAAAGGTGTCAAATAAATTTAGCAATGCTTAAAATGTCACTTGCTCCTGGTATATTGGCTCAAATTCAATAGTGGTTAACAATCTGTCATTACATTGCAGTCAGAACTGCATGGTCAAAGTACTTTCTCAAAGACACACACATGATTTCTGGGGCCATCAGAGAAATTCTCAAGAGAAGTTTTTCTTACTCTATTTTCACAGCAGAAAAATTGAAGTTTGAAGGACTAAATAATTTGTAACTCTCCTAATTCAAAATTAATGGCACTTTTTTCTCCTTGCAAGTCTCTCTTCCAAACACTGTCAGTGATTACATACAACTCCTGCTGGGACCCATCCAGTAGAGAGGATTAGGGGCTCTGCCTCCTGTTCTGGAATAGGCCCAATGATGCCAAGTCAGAGGCAAGCCTAGCTTGGTCTGGGGGAGCAGCAAGCAGAAGGAAAGGCAGGAGCTTTTATATCAACCTTAATATGAGGCAGGGCCAGACCAGATGTGCTGGGATTCACCCACAGGGAGGAACCCACCTGGGATGGCAGAGAAGCAAGCAAAAGGTCAGTATATTTCAGTATATTTAGATGCCTTAAGAATGAAGAGACTGATACAGAGATGGCATTCAGCTCAAATTCTGTTCAATATATTGACCTGTTACACTGTTTTAAAGTCTATGAATGGGAGAGAACAGTGATAAGCAATAATCTCATGACTCAAATACTTATTGCACTGTAAATAATCAATGCTCCTTTTATTACTAATGATTCTGACTTCAGTATGTTTCTAATCACTTGTATCACTTGTCATCCTGTTGATCATCTATCTGCTCCAGAGGGCACCAGTAATGTTTCCATTCATCCCTGTCTCAAGCTAGTGTAGCCCAATGGCATCTGCTCGCTCCAGGAACACGAAGAGCTTCAAACCGTTCATTCAGGGTCTTGACAACGAAGTCTGACCATCTCATAGGTGGGTGGCGAGGCACTCTTTTGACATCCCATGGAATCCAGTCAGTAAAAGCTCTAGTTTAGCACTCTTCTCTGAATTGCCTTAAGTGTCCAAACCCATCTGATTTTTGAACCTTGGCAAACAAGACAGTGTCCCTGATTCTCAATCATCTACAGAGGTCGGAACTCTGGATTCCTTCTCTCACTTGGGTGAAACATGATAATTCAAGCATAGCTCTTTAGATTCCTCTTTGAGAATCCCAAATTGCATCCTTATCCTGCTTTCGTAGGGCCCAGGTCTCCAAGGCATATTTTAATGCAAGAAGAACAGTGGAGTTGAAAAGATGTTCCCAGAGCTGGAGCTCCTTTGTCCTCTTAACAACTTCTTCGACGCTCTTGAGAACATTCCACGTCACTCTCTTCCTTCTATGCAGCTCAGGTGCCAGGTCGTTCATCACATTGAGTTCTTGACCTAGGTACACCTAACTGCTGCATTTGGAGATGTTCATTCCCTTGAGAGTGAATGGAAGGTCAGGGACTAGTTCATTTCTCATGAACTGTTGTTTTGGTGAGATTCAGCTGCAGTCAGACCTTTCCACACTCACAGTCGAAGTTGACCAGCATTTGTGCTGCTTGGCTAATGTTTGCTGTTATGAGAATGATGTTATCTGCGAAGCAAAGGTGGTGTAGTTTCTGACTGTCTATCTTCACTCCCATTCCTTCCCATTCCAGTTGTCCCATGACATTCTGGAGGGTGGCACTGAAGAGTTTTGGTGAAATGGTATCTTCCTGGTGAACCCCTCTCTTTACATAGATGATCGCTTCCTTGTAGAATGATAAGATCCTGGTGGTGAATCCATAATACAGCTCCCAGAGGATGCTGATGTACTGAGTTTGAATGCCCTGTTTGGCTAAGGCTTCGATGACCACTCCAGTCTCAACAGAATCAAAGGCCTTCTTTAAATTGATGAACATTAGACAGAGCAGCATCTTGATCTCTTGCAAAACCTCAATGAGCTTGGTCACCGTATGGATATGGTCAATCATGCTGAATCCTTTTCACAACCCAGCTTGTTTGCATGGCTGTCCTTCATCTAGTGTTCTGCCGATCCTAATCAGGATGACTCAAGTGAATAACTTGTAGACAATGGACAACAGGCAGATTGAGGGATAGTTGCCAATATCATGGATGTCTCCCTTCTTGTACAACAGAATGGCCCTGCTGGTTTTCCACTGGTACGGAACCTTGCATTCAGACAGGTAGCATGTAAAGAGCCAACCATGGTATCGATGAGTACTAGCAGCAGGCTCTTCAGGTGTTTAGGTCTAACCTTGTCTGAACCGGCTGCGTACCCTTCTTTACTGATGAAATGCTGTGTTGGATTTCGGAAGGGAGAATGTTGGGAATGACAAATCCATCCTGCGGAATTTGGTGTCCACATATATCCACGATAGTCAGGTGGATGTGACTATCAAAGAGATTCGAGTAGAAGTACTGGATAACCTTTTCCATTGCCCTTCTGGATGATGATAGATCCATCAGGACGTTGGAGGGCAGCCACTTTGGTCTTATATTTGGCAATGGACAGGCGGACATTGCGAATACTTTTCCTGGCTTCTGCCACATTGGCCAACACTGCTGCTCTTTTCTCTTTGAGGTCTTCCTTTATCTCTTCTCTGCACCACTTTACGAGCTTGGACATTAGCTTGTTGTGATTGCCTGAGGCTCACGCCAAACCATGTTGGCGAATGAGCTTGAGAGTTTTTGAAGACAGGCATCTTTTTGTGGCTTTCCCTTTTTCGGTGTTCCTTGCACAATCACTGAGATCATATCTCTCAACGATGTTGTCAATGAGGGCATCTTCCCATATTGCTGCAGTAGTGCCAAAGAGCTCCCAGTTGGTGGTCATTCTGGGGATTCTCTTTTTAAACTTTGCAGCCCTTTCTCCCCATTCTTTGAAATAGAATTTCACATGAAGGAGACAGTGGTCTGATCCCATTTGGAATTTTGGGACAACAGCAACATTGGTTAGGCAAAACTGTCGATTGAATATGATGTGGCCAATTTTGTTATGGAACTGTCCACCGAGAAACTCCCATATCTAATGTTTAGATTCAGCCTTCTGAAACTGCAAGTTACCATGGATGGTCTTGGTCAACATGATAAAGTCAGACAGTCTCTCACCCTGTTCCTTCCATTCTAGGTCTTGGGTCCTGATGTGGAGTTCTTCGAGAGACTTTCTCAGTTCTATCTTGGCATTAAAATCACCTTGTAGAAGGTGTGGTCTTCTTTATAGAACTTCTCTAGCTCCATGTAGAATTTCTCAATTTCTTCTTCGTCGTAGTTGGATGTTGGTGCGTAGGTGACGAAGATAGAAACTTCCGGCAATGAACTACATCTATTCAAATGTAAGCATCCGATTTGG